TCCTAGACCCCGGGGAGTGCACACTCACCCACCCCCACGTGCACGTAAAGGAACCCCAGATCCATTCTGCCGACAGTGGCTGACTCATCCACCCCCAAGGGTGGCAGGATGTGGTGGAAGCAGGGGCCTTAAACAAGCCATCTGCCTGGACTCTGGAGTGGCTGAGGACCACACACCCATCACCATGCCGGGCAAGCTCCCGGCACAGCCTCAAACAGCTCGTGTCTCTCCACAGGCGCCTGCAGACTCCACCTCATCATGGGACTCCTGGCCCCCAGCCCTGCCCACAGTGGCCTGTCCCACATCACACGCAGGAGTCTGTGTGTGTGCGTGTGGGTATCTTGAGGGGACCACAGCTTCCATCAGGTGCTCAGGGGGCCTGACACCCAGGGGCACAGAATGGTGGCCCGAATGGCCTGTCACACCCACCTCATCCCGGCCATCCAGGGGCTTCTACACCAGTCACCCAAATCTGGGACTTTGGACCTGGCCCAGGATGCCTCTGTTTGCCTCCCCTCCTCCCCTCTTCCCCTCCTGGAACCCCCTTTCCAACTGTTCCTTCCTGGGTCAAGGCTCAGGTGCAAAGCCTTCCCAGAGGACACAGTCCACCACTGACCATTCCCTTCTCTGGATACACGCCCCGCCTGCCCACTCACTGGGTCACTAAATCATCACAAAATGCACCCTAACATCGACCCGACGTGGGGCCACTCAGAGTACTTTGCTCACGACAGCCCTGCGGACAGGCCACCACTGCTGCCTCCTGCAGGAAGGACTGGCCGGAGCGCTGGGGGCCGGCGTCCTGGGGAGGCCCGACTCCGGCGCTGCTCTGGGGCCAGCTTCCTCCGTGGGCCCCTGACGTCACCACGCATATGGGGGAGCCAGAGGCAAGGCCGGCAGGGCAGCCACTTTGGAAAGGCTTGGAGGGCCCTTTGCCCTTCTGCTGAGGCTCGTCCTGGAGGTGGTTCAGGACCGAGGCTGCTCTGACCTCCGGTGGGGAGGGGTCTCTAGCCCCCCTAGGGAGGTGCCTGTCAGAGCACGGGAAGCCCTGGCTGGTGAGCGCCACCTACTCTGTTAGTCTGAGTCCACACGTTGCTGTAGAGCAGTTCGGGGCTGCACGGGGGCCCCTGCGAACCCCACGCCGTTCCTGCAGTTACTGCCTTATGTGTGGATGGCGCATCACCACGCTGGTGTTGTCCACACGCTTTACTTTATTTGTATTCCACCTGTTTTTCCCTCATGTCCCTTTTGTGACCTTGTCCAGGACACCAGGTGACACTGGTCATCACGTCTCCTCTGCCTCCCCTGGGCTGTGACCGTCTCTCAGACTCTCCTTGGATTTCACGACCTCGGCAGTTTGGAGATGCGCTGGTGGGGTGTTTCGTAGACTGTCCTCAGTCAGGGTTCACTGGATGTTTTCTCTGGATGGGACAGGGGTTGAGGGTTTGGGGAGGAAGAGCATAGAGGGGAGGTCCCATCACGTCGGGGGCACCTGCTGTGACCTGCCACTGTGACACTGACTTGACCCCCAGCCGAGGTCATGTTGGCCAGAATTCTCCACGTCCAGCTCCTCTCGTCCCCTGGCGCCGTCCTCTTTGGGAGGAAGTCACCGTGCACAGCCCACCCCTGATGGCTGGGGAGGCAGGTGCCCCTCCTGGAGGGCGGAGTCACAGTAAATTATCGCGAATTCTTCCCCCGGAGGTTTGTCTCTTCTCCCCTATTTATTTCTTTATTCAATTGTTTCTCTATATCAGTGTGGACTCGTGGACACTTACACTGTGGTGTCTGATCCAACAGCACGTCGTTCATTGTGCGGCTCAGTTGGTTCAGCTTTGCCCTCGGAAGCCCCCTCTGTTGGCTCCTGCTGCACCTTCTCCAGGTGCCCAGAGGCCAAGCCGACCCCCAGCCACGTGCAGGGGCCTCACGGGACACCACCAAGACGTGAGTGGGTTTGCACGTGTGCAGCTCCCTGCCACGTGCCGGTTCAGCCGATGACCACGGCTGCCAGGCTGACGGCCCAGGAGCGAGGGCCAGGGGTGTCTTTAGGAGCAGCAAGTGGGCGGAGCGGCACTGAGGCTCCGCATGTGAAGCCCGCCCTCCCTCTCACACCCTGGAAGGAGGAGGAGGCTCGGTGGTCTCTCCTCACGGCTGCTTAGCAAAATGGTTTTGGTAGCATCGCCTCCCCTTGGCACCCACCTGGGTGACCCTGCTGCCTGCTCTGTAACAGGTGAGAGGTTAGGCTTAAACCTTATGCTGTCCCAGGAGACATGTCGGGGACTGAGATTCATACTGAAGTGCAAATGGCTGCCACTGGCACCTACGCGGCACACAGGTCTTGGCAGGAGGGAGGTCCCAGGCACCGGGACATGGTGGGAAGGTGTGTCTGGGATGGGGGTTGGGCGGGGAGGAAGGGGCACCTGGCCAGGTCAGAGCAAGCACTGGCAGGTGAGCGCCTGCCTCTTCTTGGCGAGCCCTCCAACCCCAGTGTGGTTCAGAGGAAAATCTCCACCTGAGGAGCCAAAGAAGCCGAAGACGCTGCGAGGAGATACCAGGGAAGGTTTTCTTGGAGAGTGGGGCCAGACGCCAGGCTCTGTGACAGGCTAAGAGGAAGGCAAGTGGCCCTCGGTACAGCTGGCCACAGACTGCCCACAGGCTGGGATGCACAGAACCTGGGGGTCTGGATGAGAGGCGCCAGGGAGAAGGGGATGGGCCCCCTTGGGGTGGCCCCATAGCCCATGGATGGACACACCTGGTGAGTGAGGGCCTGCCCCTGGGCTCTGCCCAAGAGCTGTGACCCCCGCCGCCCAGAGACGTCCCCCTGAGCCCCAGGCTTCCCTGGGGAGAGTCCTGGGGAGAGGCTGGGGGCTCCCAAGGTCACGGATAGCCCTGGAAATTGGTGGGGGCAGAACCGTGGGTGTTGGGCTCCCCTGCATCCTGCACCAGAGGGGAGGGGGGCCTTGTCTGATTTCTGAACAAAGAGAACTGGGGGCCAAAGTGGCCAGGAGGGAACCAGGACCCGCCGCGGGGCCTGTGCCCACCCAGAGCAGACCGCAGCACCGTGCCTCCTGACCTTGGGACGCCCTTGGACGGGCTATGACAAGGACAGTTTCTGAACCACGTCGCGGTGGGCAGTGGCAGGGGGCCTGTCTGCACTGCCTGCCCTCCTCCCCCACAGAATGGGAGGAGGGGCCGCTCTGCTCCTGCCGAGGGGAGAGGGCTGCCCTTCCCTCTGCCCTGCTCCCTGGCCCTCTCCTGGGGCACAAATGGGGTGCTGCAGGCCTGGAGCTGCTGCCCAGGGGCCTGTCCTTGGTGAGGCCACCCCGGCCTTTCCTCACCCTGGCGCGGTAAGAACTCGAGGTGGGGGCTCAGAAAGGGGGGGGAGGGGTGGTCACGGGGTTGCTCCAGCTCCCGCCCCCGCCTGGATTGATTGAGGCACAGTGCCTCCCTGGGCAGTCAGCCCAGCTCGCAGGGCACTGCCCAGGGAACGAGGCCAGAGCAGCCGAGACGGCCACTGTCCCACCGTCTGGCCTCGTCTCGGGGCCTCACCTCTGCCAGGGGCCCCAGTGAGAATGGCGCCACACAGAGCTGGGCACGGCAGGCGGGGGGAAGCGGTCAGCCTTCTGACCTCAGAGCAAAGGGAGAAGAGGCACCTCCCTGGGAGGCCTGCCGTGACTCGTTTAAAAGTCTGATTCACTCAGGTTTGTGGCGTCTTCTGTCTGCCTCTTGAGTGAGCACCCGGCCCGGCCACACGACACCCCTGGGTCACGTGGCTGTGCGCCGGGCCCTGCCGGCTGTTCTCCCCTCACGGATGCGCCATTTTGGGCTTTGCTGCCGCTCCAAAGAGTCAGTACGTCCAGAAGAGGCCATGAGCTGTGGGGATGGCCCACGTCCCATTGATCGGGGATTCTTCTCAGCAGACAGATGGGGGTCGTGAAAACAAGCAATGATGACACACGTGAGAACCATCCAAGGTCCAAGGACCCCGCTGGGTGACCGTCCAGTGATGGAATAACCCAGCTGAGCTGGCTTCCTTGTCCCGTAATCTCGGTCCCTTTGGGACAAAAGGTTCTGGGAACTGGAACCTTAACACGCCTCTCAGGGAATCAACAAGAGATCATCGTTGCTTCCTTTCTTGCCCTGAGAGCCTTTCCATGGTGTATCAGTCAGCGAGGGATGGGTAACAAAGTACCACAGCTGGGTGGCTTACACAGCAGACATTTATTTCTCACAGTTCTGGAGGCTGTAGTCTCAGATCAAGGTCCGGCAGGGCTCAGTTTCTGGTGCAGCCTCTCTTCTTGGCTGTAGACAGCTGCTCTGCCCCATGTGGCCTTTCCTCTGAGCGCCAGTAGAGTCTTTTCCTCTTCCTAAAAGGCCGCTTGCCCACCCTATCAGATTGGGGCCCCCCTTTATGGCTTCATGGAACCCTAATAACCTCCTAAGCCTCCTTTCTCCAAATGCAGTCACATTGTGGGCTAGGACTTCAACACCTGAATCCAGGGGGACACAATCCAGTCTGTAACATTCAGGAAAACAAGACTTGGCCCTTTTCCTGGTGTGAGTCATGTACATGTGTCCAGGCAGGGGTGCGGAAGGCAGCATGTCTGCGCCCTGGGAGGAGCTGCAGCCATGCAGGGCGCACCCCCTGCCCAGACACCATGGGCTGAGGCTGGGGACGTCTCCACCTCTCTGCCTCAGCTTCTGCTCCCGATCCCCCGGGCGAGCAGTCCCTGTATCTGGCGAGCCGACGTGGGAAATAAAATGACACGACTCAGAGGAAGGCTCTTCAAACAAGTCCGGGGGTGGGCGCTGGGTGATTCCTAGTCTCTCCTCCCCGCCTTGCCGCTGGCTCCCTGACGTGACGTGTTATCTCGAAGGAACATTTACACACTGACAGAAACAGATCCGGACGCACAAGACACAGAGCGAGGAGCACGGGCGTGAAACACGGGACGCGGGGAAGCCATGCGGCGGACACAGGACAGCGAGACACAGACGCGGCGGCCCTGCCAGCACCGCAGCCCGCAGCCCGCAGCCCGCGCGCCTTACCTCGGAAGTAGGGGATGTAATGATGTCTGAACACGGATGTAGGGCTTGGGTGTTGGGACAGGGACAGGCAGCTACTGGTACCAACACTCACAGTACCAGCTGCGGGCAACAGAGAGCAAGTCAGAGTCGGCCGCACGCTCACCGGCCACAAAGCCACAAAACATTCCCAGGCCCGGCTCCTCCAGGAACATTTTTGCTTCCTCTCTCGAAGAACACACACCATTCTGAGGCACCTGAAGGGGTCACCAAGGGTCCTCTGGGCCAGTGTGCTCCAGGTTTGGAGGGAGGAAGTCCTACCCTCTGTGGTCAGGGTGGCTGCCCCCAGGCCCGCTGGGTGGGAGCTGCTGGCCCCTGAGCCCTGCCCATTGCCCCACCTGGGACCTCCTTGGGAGCCAGAACCCAGGCGGAGGGCAGCTGGCAAGACCAGGGGTGATCTGTCACCCAGAAGTCATCCCGGCCTCGCCCAGCAGAGATTCAGGTCTTGGCTCTGGGGCGACCACCTGGACAGGCACAGCCGACAAGCCCAGGTGAACACATGGCGGTCAGGGGTCCGCAGAAGGGCCCCCAGGGAGGCCGGCAGCCCTTCCCCCTGACTCGCCAGCTCTCCTAGTCACTCCCTCCCTCCCTCACTCATTCACTCCCTCACTCACTGGTTCACTCCTTCACTCACTCACCCACTTTGCAAACATCTACAGAGCAGGATGTACCAGGCACACTGCACAATATCAATGAAAGTAACTTTGCAAATGAATGAGTTTTGATTTTTCCACAAAGGCTGCAAAAATCAGAGCTGAGTCCATGGAGGTGAGGATGGAACCATGCATCAGCTGGCCAAGGAGGAAGCCCCTAGGAAAAATCCCTCAAAACACAGCACCTGCATGGAGACCCTGTGGCCCCGACACACTGAGGGCAAGGCAGCGTTTAAAGGCAAGGAGAGCAATAGAGCTGGACGCCAAGCAGGGAGTGAGGTGGGACGGGGCAGAGAGGACCCTCCTTGGGCTTCTCCCCGCTGGGAGGGGCCTGACAGTGGCCTCTTACACATGTTCCCATGGGACAGTTGTCTCTGGGGCCAGTTGAAGTGTCAATGCACACGCTGACGCTAGCTTTTGTCCATTGATTTGGCCTTCACAGCACAAACCTTCCCCAAATCACACAGGCTCGGAACTAAGTGACTTCTGGTCTCCCACCTTTGTGCTGCTCTATCTTCCTGACGCCCGCTACTGCACATCAGCTGGATTCTGCGTGCTCAGTGCCGTCTGCATGTTTCACAGGATGGCTCCCCCAACCAACAGGGTAACCAGCTGCCTCTGCAGCCAGCCTCCCCACCCGGACATGAGAGGGCCTTTTCTTTATGTGACTAAAAGGACGGGCTCTCCATCACCCACTGGCAGTCCCCACCCCCTGTCCATCGTATTTCCAGCTGCATAAAGGAAGAGACAGATGCATAAGAGGAAGAGCAGCAAGGATCACAGCTTCACACGGGGTAAAAGAAGCGTTGGGGGCAAGTACCTGGACGGCTGTAGTGCTGGGGTGACCGTGAGGTCGGGGTGTATCGCCCGAGGCTGACCGACCCGGTGGAGCTTGGGCTGGAGGTCCGGCACTGCTTGTAGGAGCGGTCATCCTGGTCCCCCTGGAGGGGAAGACAACCCGGTGAACACCGGAGCCAAGAACACCGCCCACCCCTCTCCCGCGCGTCCAGCCTCCACTTGGCTTTTGCTCTCTTGACCCAAGAGGCTGACTCAACTT